TGTGAAAGCAAGATATATGACAAAGAACAATATGGATATCACAAAGTAAAGTGCATAAGTAAAGGGGCTCGGGTAAGAGATAACCGAGGCACGCAGAGACGACGATGTATCCCGAAGTTCACACCCTTGCGGATGCTAATCTCCATTTGGAGCGGTGTGGAGGCACAATGCTCCCCAAGAAGCCACTAGGGCCACCGTAATCTCCTCACGCCCTCGCACAATGCAAGATGTCGTGATTCCACTCAGGGACCCTTGAGGGCAGTCACCGAACCCGTACTAATGGCGACCCTTGGGGGTGGTCACCGAACCCATACACTTTGGCAACCCTTGGGGGCGGTCACCGGTACCCGTCAAATTGCTCAGGGCGATCTCCACAACCTAATTGGAGACCCCGATGCTTGCCCGGAGCTTTACACCACAATGATCGAGATCCAAGCACCACCAACCGTCTAGGGCGCCAAAGCACCCAAGAGGAACAAGCTCAAGGGCACCAAGCACCCAAGAGTAATAAGCTTCTCAACTTGAAACTTCCACGTATCACGTGGAGAACTCAAACCGATGCACCAAATGCAATGGCAAGGGCACACGGAGTGCCCAAGTCCTTCTCTCCCAAATCCCACCGAAGCAACTAATGCTAGGGAGGAAAATGAGAGGAAGAACAAGAAGGAGACACCAAGAACTCCAAGATCTAGATCCAAGGGGTTCCCCTCACTTAGAGGAGAAAGTGATTGGTGGAAACGTGGATCTAGATCTCCTCTCTCTTTTCCCTCAAAAACTAGCAAGAATCCATGGAGGGATTGAGAGTTAGCAAGCTCGAAGAAGGTCAACAATGGGTGAAGAACACGAGCTCAAAGGATAAGGCTCATTGGGGAAGAAGACCCCTTTATATAGTGGGGGAACCAATCCAACCGTTACCCCACTGAACAGCCACGCACAGAGCGGTACTACCGCTTGGGCAGGGCGGTACTACCGCTGAGGGCGGTACTACCGCTCTCACCCAGCGGTACTGCCGCGCTGACGAGGAGGACAGGGCCCTGGCCCCAGAGCGGTACTACCGTGGGAGTAGGCGCGGTACTACCGCTTGGAGCGGTACTACCGCCACTACTACCGCACTTAGTACCGCAAAACCCGACACGAAAAACGACGGTCTCGAATCGAGGCAGTAGTAGCTCGGAACCACTGCGGTACTACAGCCGAAGACCACAAGCGGTACTACCGCTTGGGGAGCGGTGCTACCGCTCTGGGAGCGGTACTACCGCTCTGGGAGCGGTACTACCGCTTGAGTGCTTTTGCGGTACTACCGCTTTGGACCGCGGTACTACCGCTGGCGCCATCCTCAAGCCACTACTGCGAAAACAAAGAATACTCCAAGGAAACCAGAACTGCCATAACTTCTGCAAATGAGCTCCGAATTGAGCAAACTCAAGCTTGTTTGAAACAAGACAACGAGTAGCATCAAAACAGCGAAACAAAGGAGTGACACCTCCAACAGAGAAGAACCGGCATACCCTCCAACATCGAAAACATCATAGAAGATGCATGTGAACTCCGTTTTCGATGAACTCGAGCTTGTCATGAACATGACCAAAATCTCCAAAACTCACAAGGAGAAGAACCAAACAAGAACCAATAAAGATGATGCAAGGATGCAATGGTTTGAGCTCTCAACGAATGATACGATCAAGCAACTCATCGAGAGCCCCCCTTGATAGTACGGCAAACGATCCTATAACCCGGTCTCCCACAACTACCATGAGACCGGTAAAATAGAAAACTTATCAAGGGCAAACCTTTGCCTTGCACATGGTCCACTTGAGCTAGATGATGACAATCTTGACTCCCTCAAGTTGGACCACCTTTCTTGATTGCGTTGGTTCGATGAAGACTAGTTGATTGCTCCCCCATACTCCACTATGGGTGAGCCACTCTTCCGCTCATCTTCACAAGTCCATTGTCACCACAATGGACGGCAAACTTCAAGCACTTGATCTCTTCGTGATGCATCACTTGAACTTGCACACCGCAATCTAACCCCACTAAGAACTCTCACGAAGATCACGGGTTAGTACACAAAGCGTAATTGACAGTGCTTACCATACCATGGGGTCGCTTGATCCCTCTCGGTACATATTCTATGCTTTGTGTGTTGATCAACTTGATTTACTCCTTGACTTAGTCTTGATCAACCTTGAATCTTTCCAACTCTCTTCATTTGGATGATGTCTTGAAGATAAACATGAATGATCACACAATCTTCTTCTTCACGACATGCTTGCAATAAGCTCAGCACTCACATGACCATTCTTTGGATAATTCCTTAATAGCACCTTGGTCAACTCATAAACTCCTTGAAACCACACATGGACTTCAAGAAAAACCTATGGACAGATCCTTCAAATATAACTCAAGACAACCATTAGTCCATAGAGATTGTCATGAATTACCAAAACCAAACATGGGGGCACCGCATGTTCTTTCACCAGGTGTGGGGGAGCCACACCCCGGCAACCTCGTCCCCTGCGACGCTAGTGAAGCCCGTGCAAGTTGGCATGGCAATCGCGGGCCCGACATCCTCGGGACCCGACAAGCCCGTGCAAGTTGGCACAGCAAAGGCATCCCCGACATCCTTGGGACCCCACAAGCCCGTGTTAGTAGGCACGACAACGACACATCTGGTGGGCCACGTCCCGACCATGATGCTGGTGACCAGTGAGCCCGTGCAAGAGGCACGACACTCTCACGTCGGCCACACCCCGACAACCAGGTTCTCGGGGTTCTGCAAGCCCGTGTGGAAGACACGGCACTCTTCGTTCGCCTCAACACCAGGGCCTGTCAACCGGGAGGCGATGAAGAGACGGTCATGGGGCGGCAAGGCATCGACCGTGACTATGGGGTCCATCGACTTCGTGCGGGAGGAACGACACTCTTTGGTCGGCTATGCCGCGACCCCGACACGCTCGGGGTCCATCGAGTCTGTGCAGGGCGCACGGGTCTCTCTAGTCGGGCACGACCCGACTACGCTGGTGGTGACCGTCGAGACCGTGCAGGGGGCACGGTGCTCTATGGTCGGTCACACGACAACCCCGACACGCTTGGAGTCCATCGAGTCCGTGCGGGAGGCACGACTCATGGTCGTCGGGGGAAACCCGACAAGCAAGTCTGATGGGAAGAGCACCAAGGACTCCGCTACCCTGAGAGGAGCAACTACGGGAAGTGCGGCGTCTGGCACAACGACCCTGGGAAGGGAGTTCCCGGGTAGTGCGATGTCCGACAAGTCATCCCTGGGAAGGGAGTTCCTGGATAGCGTGACATCCGACACCACGACCCCGGGAAGGGAGTTCTCGGGCGGTGTGATGTCAGGAACTACGACCCAGCAACACTGACGCCCACGAGCGAGGTGGTTTCTGGGCAGTTCGTGTCCCTGCCTACAGCACGGTCGGACCTGTTTGATGCCAACAACAACTTTGGCTCTCCACACAGGTTTCGACGCCTAGGGGGACCTTCTCGGCGAACCTGCGAGACGACCGCAACACCCCGAGATCAAGAAGGACGAACACGGCGCCTTCATCAAGCACAAGGTGCGGCTTGTTGCGAAAGGTTATATACAATGCATGGGGGAGGACTTCCAGGAGGTCCTCGCTCGCAAAGCACGAGCAGGGCGTACGGGCTACACAAAAGCCGGAGAAGGTGGACATCCGACAAAGACACTTGGTCGCATCCAGCTTTAGAAGCTGCACAACAAGGTCGGGACCGTCAACATCGAACTCCTTCGACAAGGTTGAGCAGGAGATTGTTGAGTCAACCTGGTCTTCGGATGGTCTACAACATGCATGTATTGGCACACCTTGCATGCAGCAGCAGTAATAATTAGATATGGCTGCATGCCGGTAGTAGTAACTTAGCTACGAAGTGAAACAGCTAGCAGCTGTGTAGGTTGGTCGGCAAGACCACTTTTTCTTTTCACTGTTGTAGGTAAGCAGTGACGTAGTACATGCATTTGACATCAGCATGTGCGTAGTATAGGCGGTTTGTAAGTGCTATATATAGAGCACCACTCTACCCGTTGTATCCCATTCCACTCTGATCAATTCAAGTAGTACCAGCACTTAGCGCTTCCACCGGTCATTTTTCAGTATACTCGAGTACTAGCGAGTAGTTCTGGGCTAACAGGTGGCACATACAAACGCAATCTCAAGGTGGTATATATGCGTCCCCCAACTAAGAAATCCCTTTTAAGATCGGCGCGCCGGTAAACTAAAGCTCGAGAAGGAGAAGCCATGGTACACCAAAAATCTTCAAGGACTATCACCAATGTATTTGCCTAAAACTGCCATTACACCACTTCCCTCAAAGAAAAAAATGCCATTACACAACAATTTGTCGCGCCATAGGCTTAGGGTGTGCTATACGCCCTTCCTTTTGCTACTACTGCCTCATCCACTCATTCTACATGGCCTCCATCTTTGCTTTGCTCATCCATTGACACACATCATCTCCTCGATGCTCGGCCATCATCGGTCACCATAAACCATCTAAATTGTTGGCCAACACTTCTTCCTACCCTCATTCCCTACCCTCCCTCCTCATCTGTTTCGCCTCCTTCCTCGTCCTTGATGTATCTGGCTCCCGTTGGATCCCAAGACTATGGATCACATGTTTGAAACATACATTTTTCGAATGGAAATCCATGACATCACATGGGCATTTCATTTTCACGTAAGAAAAAAGCAAAACGTAGAAGGAAGTGACTGGCCTGACATGTGGGGCCAACGGGAAATCCCTATCCAAGATTTTCAAGGCTAAAAAAAATCCAAAAATAAAGGGGAATTGAAAATTCATGCTCCTCGTCCTCGAGCCCATTCCCCCCCTCCATCGCCGCCTCCTTTGATTGGATCGAAAAACAAAATCGTCGCTCCCACCAAAATCCAATCCCCAATCTGCCGAAACCTAGCGGCGAGGAACGGGAGGCCGTAGCCGGGGGATTCCAGCGCTCCGGCGAGATGGATTTGGATCTGTGGATCGTCAAGGTCAAGGAGGGGCAGCACCTCGCCGAGCACGAGCTCCAGTCCCTCTGCGAATACGTACGGCCTCTTCCCCTGCCCCCTTCCGATGCGCCAACCCCGCCGCTTTCTCCTCCGGCGTTTCGCCACCGTCCGGCGCCGCCGCCTGGCCAGTGGTGCGGCTCTACGCTGCTGTTCAGTGAGCTGAGCTGAGTAACTGACTAACTGATGCTCTTGTATGTGTGTGGCGAGACCATTTCAGGTGAAGGAGATCCTCATCGAGGAGTCCAACGTGCAGCCGGTCAACAGCCCCGTTACGGTGTGCGGCGACATCCACGGCCAGTTCCACGACCTCATGAAGCTCTTCGCCACCGGGGGCCATGTCCCCGACACCAACTACATTTTCATGGTCTCTGGCTCCGCTGCCTGTCCGTTTGGTGTCTTAGGCTGGAGTGGCCATCATGGTTGCTGAGCTGAGCTTGTGTTGACTTGCAGGGCGACTTTGTGGACCGCGGGTTCAACAGCCTTGAGGTCTTCACCATTCTTCTGCTTCTGAAAGCTAGGTATGCCATTGAATGTCTGCTTGAGCAATTAAATGACTGTACTTGCTCTGCACAATTATCATGTATGGTACTTGAATCTCATGAACATACTTTATGATGTGCTGTTTAATTTGCTCCTTTTCCCAAACAGCACCTTCATAGATTTCCAATGTTGTTTCAGCTTGCTGTCATCGGTACTCTAATTCACTAGTATGCTGTAGTCGGTGATTCAGCACAGGTGAGTTCATATGTAACGTTGCTAGGATGATTGTCTCCACCTAAGGGATGTTTGAACATTCAGGAAGCTAAACTTGATACCCCTTCGCTGTAGAATGGAACCGTTGCTTCATGCTTAATAAAATTTCTCAGCATTAACATACTTGCTGACTCCATATTGCTGAAACAGCGGTTAGCACTGAATATTTCTGTTTGAATCCAGTTTATTTTGCTTTGCACTCGAAGAGTTATTTTCAGTTCATCACAAAAAAAAAAAATTCAATCACCTCAGTATCATGGCCATGACTGTTTTTCAATTCCTCGCAGACGATAACTGTCTTATTCTATTTATTAATTTTCATGACTGTCATTAGGTATCCTGGCCACATAACCCTTCTGCGTGGGAACCATGAAAGCAGACAGTTGACGCAGGTACAATCCTTTCCTAATATCCGAATGCATTTTTTTAGTTTTAGTTTGTCTTACGGGTTTTTTTTTTCTAACGAGACATAGAATCTCACTTATTTTTGTTGCTTTGAGGCTTTATGCAGGTTAACCAATACTTACAACTAAACCAATCCTATCATGTGTGTATCCTAATATTTCTTTTCTTTTCTTAGGTATATGGCTTTTATGATGAGTGTCAGAGGAAGTATGGGAATGCGAATGCATGGCGGTATTGCACTGATGTTTTTGATTACCTTACTCTTTCAGCAATCATTAATGGCACAGTAAGTTATGTTAGGTAAAGAAGTTAAGTCCTATGTTCAGATGATGTTAACTCATACTTAGTGACATGCATGTCGATATTTAGGTCCTCTGTGTTCATGGTGGCCTTTCACCTGATGTACGCACAGTTGACCAGGTTAGTTATTCTGTTCACTTTTGGCTCGTATTCTCAAATTGATGCTTTCATTTACATGTCCTGCTAAAATCAAGATACTTATCCACATTTTCCCGTGTAAAATTAATTCTTGTTCTTTGTTCATTCAATTTGTTCAATCATGTAATGCCCCTTTGAGTAGCTTCCTATGTTTGTTTGAAGGGTGTACTAAACAGACTATTAATCAGTAGCACCATCAGAAAATGTGTCTCTTAGAGTACTGTAATATTGCCTCTGTTGTATTCATGTGGATTGTCTTCTGTTAGAGACTTAGAGTCATCTTTGTTATACACATTTCCTTTTGGTGAGAAAAATATACTTCCCAACTGTACATATATGTAAAGCGGTAGTTTCATGATACTACTCAGTACTCACTAGGAGAACCACTACCTGTATGTGATTTTACTTTTCCTGTTATATGAGACTGGATCGTTAAGACAGTGCCCAGTGAAATACCAAACCAAATTTGCAAATCTGATGAGTAGTTTTAAATATCTTTGTTGTGGCCACAGATGCGGACAATTGATCGCAACTGCGAAATTCCTCATGAAGGACCTTTTTGTGATCTGATGTGGAGTGACCCAGAAGAGATAGAGACATGGGGTGTTAGTCCCCGTGGAGCAGGTTGGCTTTTTGGATCACGGGTGACAACCGAGGTATGTCATATTGCTATTCTCGTTTCAGGTTGTCTCCATATGAGGTTTTTACTGACGCTTGTTGTTCTAATGCAGTTCAACCATGTTAACAATCTTGAGTTAGTTTGTCGGGCTCATCAGCTAGTCCAGGAAGGCCTAAAGTACATGTTCCAAGACAAGGGTCTTGTAACTGTGAGCTCTCCACTTATACATGTCGAATTGTCCGAGAACTTGCATGTAGTTCCAGATGCTCACTGTTTATTTCTGCATTTTTTTTCCAGGTGTGGTCTGCACCTAATTATTGTTACAGATGTGGGAATGTTGCTTCTATACTAAGCTTCAGTGAAACTATGGTAGGTCACTCCATCATCACTACCAGGCTTGGTTCTTCATTTGTGTTTTATGTACTTTATGTCTACTGCTGTATTTGCCTGCAGTAATTTGCTAGACATGCTTTATTGCCTTAAAAAAAATCAAGAATCTGTTCGTACCCATGATTTGATAGGCTCCATCAGAAACCTTCTTGAGTCTATTGGTGAGGTATATGGTGGTAATTTCACTGTTTTGTATATGAACCCCGAAGCTTCTGATAGCATATCCAGATAGGGAACACAAGCTCCGGAGTACTAGTACTAGTACTAGTACTGCAGCACAAGTTGCAACAGTTCCTGTTATGATAGATGAAGTCACTCCCGTGTTTCTGTGTACTCTTAATATTGACAAACTAACGGTAATAAGAGTCTGAAGAAGTAACTAGTCTAGAGCAAACAAGCGAATAGAACCTGAGATTCTGAGAAGGAACAAACCGTTCGAGCTCCCAAGCTGTAGACTTGCCAACAAACAAGCAAGTGTGGCTTGGTTGGTAACAAATGAACTTGCGCCTGCTATTCTTTCCCTGATAAAGGGAAGCAGAGAGCATGACAATAAATAGTTACAACAACCTCCATTCAATTCCCTTGTGTGGCAGTACCTGATATGCTATCATGCATACCATATTTTTCAGTCATTTAAAAAAAAGGAGATTTGTTATGTCAATCTTTTGTGGGGACTGATTATTATGCCACCTTTTGTACTGTATTTGATAATTTTATTGACCCTATTTACTCCGTTGGCAGGAAAGAGATGTGAAGATCTTCACAGAGACGGACGAGAACAACCAAATGCGAGGGCCGAGAAGTGCGGTCCCGTATTTCCTTTGACCTCCTTTGTACATTATTTTTTTGGTGATTTTTCACTTCTGGTGTTCATTGTTGTAGCTTGAGCCCACAGTGCAATCTGATATCATCTGATGCATTTTGATCTCACCACTTGTCTTAACCCGCTGTATACAATAGATTACTGGGAGCATAGCTGCCAATGGCCCCGGTTTTGTCCTTCATAGCCTGTCCACACCCAAGTTCAATTCTATACTTTTTAGAACCAACTTATGCATTTCTAGAAGATATGATGTATGAACACATGGAGGAGGATGAAATATTGTTGTGTGTGCATGGCGTTGTATCTTGCTCAGCAGTCAGCTGAAGAACTCTGTTGCCATAGTTAAATTCCACGGCGAACCATGACATTTTTTTTTTCTGAAGCTTGTTTCATTTCTTGTGCGATGAAGCATAATGATTCAGTAACAGATGGGTCTTTTCCACGCTGGAAACCGCAATCTGTCTGGCAACGCAGATTCACTGAAATGTAAACAATACCGAACTGAAAAACCATAACGAAATCCTTCAACGGAGATGCGAATTCGCCAATTCACGCCTCGCGAATTCTTGGTGAACCACGACGGAGTGCTAGTTAGTCCCAAGCTGCCTCATTTCCAAACGCAGTCTAGTTCTCTCCTCCTAGTCTCATTGGCCCAGGAAGAGCAGAAAGCTCTTCTTCCGGACCATCGAAAACTCCACGTTTAGACGCTGTCACCAATGTAAAATAGCGTTATACTATGATGTAAAAAATCACCGCAGCGGCACGCTGTCGTCTGACTCCACGAGAAATCCCCCCGGGCTGGAGACAAACCCCGGCCAAATCACATTCACGCCGCTGTCAGGAGTGAGGCTGGCGGGAAGGAAGGCTTGGAGTTGCCATGCCTCGGTTTGTCACCACGCAGAAGCAAGAATGTATTTAGCCTGGCTGGCCTCCGTCGCTCCGAGCAAACGATGGCGGCGATGGAGGGCGGCGCGAGGGTCCGGACGGCGCGGGGCTACGGCGGCGGCAACGAGTCCGTGTCGGTGGGCGACGGCATGAGCATCTTCGGCCAGAGCCAGAGCCAGAGCATCGACGTGCGCCGGCGCGGCAAGCCCCGGCGGCGAGCCACGCTGCCAAAGGTCGTCAAGGTAGACAGACTTGCTCTCAGAGGCTCCGTCTCCATCCCAGTTCTTGGTGTTCGGCTTGTTGTACTGATGATATCCACCGTGGTGACTGCGTGCAGAACGTGTCGTATGATGTCAAGCAGGTGGCGAGGTCCGGCTCCGGCACCGATCGGCTGCCGCACCGGCGTCCGCCCGCCACGCCGGAGAAGGAGAAGGAGAAGGAGAAGGAGAAGGCGCGTGTGGACCCTGAGCTGTTCGCGGGCAAGACGCTGGAGCAGCTCGCGGAGCAGGCCCACGCCAAGGCGGGGTCGCACGGGCCGGACAAGGACAGAGCGCGCGTCGTCGCTGCCCCGGAGCCTGAGCTGCCGGCGGTCGTGGACAAGAAGCAGCTGGAGCGGCAGGGGTCTCGCAGGTCCGAGCTCCTCAAAGTGCCGCGCGCGAACGTTGCCGGCCTCGCTGTGGACGTCGGTGGCGCTCGGCCGGTGGAGTCGAGCGGCGGCGCGACGTACGCTGAGGTGATGCGCGAGCTGGACCGCGTCAAGAGGGAGCTGCGGGAGCTGCAGCGCGAGGTGAAGGCCGCGAGGGAGGCCAAGGGCGGCGTGGCCATGGCCGAGGAGGAGGCGTCGTCGGCGGCGACGAGGAGCCCTGGTTCGGTCGGCGCCCACGGCGCCAAGGAACGGGGCGCCGACCACGAAGCGAAGGAGGTGCGCGTCGCCTTTGAGCTCACCGGAGCCGGCCGGTCGTCTGCGAGAGATACAGAGGAAGAGGTGACGAGGTGGACGCCGCCGACCATGGGGCTGCAGAGAGGCGCGGCCATGGGCCGGCAGAGCGTGTCGAGCGAGCTCGAGGCGTGGCTCACCGCGGCGAGCTCCGACGACAGACGGCTCCGCCACGGCTTCGGCCACTCCTCGGACTCGGAGATCACCGACGAGGGGCACGACAGCTCGCCGTCGCTGCAGGCGGCGGAGGCCAAGCTGGACATGGCGCGGGCGGAGCTGGAGTCCGCCAAGGGGGAGAGCCTCCAGTTCACGGCGTCCATGGAGCGCACGCGCACGGAGGCGGCGCGGCTCGCCGAGGAGATCGGCCGGCTGGAGGAGCAGGAGAAGAAGGCCGGCGCGCAGGTGCGGCAGCTGGAGGCCGCGCTGCGCGACGCCAAGTGCCGGCTGGGCGCTGTCACGGCCGCCGACGAGATGGCCGGCGAGATCCTGGCCGACCTGGAGGCGACCCTGCGGCAGCTGGAGGAGGAGACGGAGGCGGCGGAGAAGGAGAAGGCGCTGACGGAGCAGGAGGGCCAGGTCGTCCAGGACGACGCGGACAGCGTGGATGCCGAGGTCGCGGCCGCCGAGCAGAGGATCAGGGGTTCGATCAGGGAGCTGGAGGCGGCGAGGGCGTCGGAGGCCGCGGCGACGGAGAGGCTGAGGGCCGCCGTGGAGGGCGCGGCGGTGGAGAGGGCGTCCATGGCGCCGCGGAGGTCCGGGAACGTGACGCTCCCGCGGTTCGAGTACGAGTACCTGACCGGCCGCGCCGAGGTGGTCCGCGCGGTCGCCGACAAGAAGGTGGCCGCGGCGGCGGCGTGGGTGGAGGCGCGCCGGGCCGGCGAGAAGGAGATGATCATGCGCGCCGAGGCGATCGAGAGGGAGCTCGGGCTAGAATTACAGGCCGTGGACGACGAGAGCGTGGCGGGGCAGCAGAGGCCGCGCGACGGCCTGCAGCGCGCGCACACGTCAAGGAGAGGAGCCGTGATGGTGAAAGGCTCGTCGGCGGCGACATCATCAAGAAGGAAGACGCCACCATCGCCATCGCCGCCGCAGTCGCCACTGGCGCGGCACCCGCGAGGGCAGTCGTCCCTCGCCATAAGGAGCTACCTGAAGCTCGTCGGCGGGAAATGCACGAGGCCATGACTGGAGACGCAATTCAAGTCGACGCGGACAATATCATTTCTATATGCATGTGTGCCTGTGTATTCTTCTTACAACAACAATGCGCATATGCAGAGCATCAGAGGGGGCTGTACGAGCACAACTACGTATACAAGAACAAACACCCTTTCAGATACGATATGAAATACATGTATTATACCAGCTGAGGAAGAAAAATTGTGTGGCGTAGTGAGGGATGTATGATCTATCTTCATGGTTTTGAGACGGCGACCTTGCAAAGTGGGCAGGCGTTCTTCCGGGAGAGCCACTGCTTGATGCAGTGCACATGGTAGCCGTGCCCGCAGCTCAGCTTCCCGATCTCTTCGCTTGCTTCAAACTCTTCCTGAAAAATTGCAATAAGTTCATGTTAACTTGTGAAGAGCCGATGCTGATGTGACATTGTGACATGGGGACTGAATCGAAAGGAGGAAGTTCGTCGTCATACTTGGCAAATGCTGCAGCTCCGCTCCGTCTCTGTTGAGAAATGTTTGCGGTCGAACGGCAGGTGTTTGCCAACCCTAAGGCCGCGAACAATCTCGTCTTCTCGCAGCCCTGTGCTTACGTAGCCGATCCTGTCCTCGAGCGCGAGTAGCTCCTGTCAAATGATGCAACAATGTTCTTTGTTAAGTAAAGACAGTGGTGTGCAATCTTAAATCTGTTGCAGATGATGGGCAGCAGAAAGGGGGTACCTCGTAATTCATGTTATCGACATCGAGGCGCCAATCCTGATATTGATCATACATGCCCATTCTTCCCAACAGCAGTCTCGTTCGAAACATCATTATCTGAATGTTGTAAAGGATAATACTGGATGTTATATAGTACTCCCTCCGTCCGAAAATACTTGTCATCAAAATGGATAAAAAGGGATGTATCTAAAACTAAAATACGTCTAGATACATCTCCTTTTATCCATTTTGATGACAAGTATTTCCGGACGGAGGGAGTAGTAACAAATAACATGGGTTCAAAGTGCATGCTACATATCTCCATTAGCAGAAGTACTCAAGGGATCTAAAGAGCTTGTGGGTGTTTGATAGTGAACTGGGACAACCTATGAAATGACCTGATGCCAACAACTAGTATACTCCCTCCGTTCCTAAATATTTGTCTTTTTAGAGATTTCAAATGATTACCACATACAGATGTATGTAGACATATTTTAGAGTGTAGATTCACCCATTTTGCTCCGTATGTAGTCACTTGTTGAAATCTCTATAAAAAAATATATTTAGGAACGGATGGAGTAGAACAGAAGAAAAACAGCTCCATAACTGATTAGTACTAAAGTGGCACGACAGCGTTGTCTCAACAAGCAGGAAACTAGCAAAAAAATAATGCAGTACTCTGATCAAGAACTACTAGATACTCCTTCCGTTCAGTGTGTAGATTCAGTCATTTCAGCGACAGTTAATTCCGAACGGAGGTACGTAATATTTTTCTGTATCTGAAGTGCAGAACTCAAAACTACCACCGAAGGCCACTTTTTGACCAACGAACATGCAAGTTCATATTGTAAAGTTTACTTGCTCAGGCATTCAAATCCTTCAGTGTGCTCACCCCATTCTAAAAAATCACATTAAACAATGAACCAAGTTTACTTGCCCAGGCATTCAAAATCCTCCAGTGTGCTCACCCCATTCTAAAAACTCACATTAAACAACGAACCAACCATCCATCCCAGCAACATGGCAACTAGTTAACCAAAAGAATCAGCAACATGGTTGTTCAGCCCAGCCCAGCACAATGATTCATCATCTGTGTGTGTAAACACAGCAGGGAAAGGAAAGGGAAATCTGCATCCACACTCAAAGGGCTCCCTGCCTCTGCACCTAACATATCTACCACCATCACCTGCTCTCATGTGCCTCCATCCAATCCGCCGCGTGCCTGCGTTGCGTGTCGTATAAACATAACTACGTACCAGCCAGGGGTGATAAACTACTATACTGTACCAATCCTAGAGCTGCAACCAACCACTCCAGGTCCAGTATAGAACGTGTGAGTGAGGATCGTTTTGTAGGGTGGTACCATGTGAGTGAGTGACTACCATGGCGTAGAAACAAAAATGCCAAATCAGCATGGACCATGGGCTGCATATGATGGGCTGCTAGTAGAGGAGTATAAGATTGAGCATGGACCCGCTGAGAGTCTGAAACTGTCTATGGTGGATGCTATGAGATTTGCCCAATCGGAATGGTTCTTGTGGAATGTGGAGGACCGGCCTATCGTGTACTACCAACAATGATGAAATGAATGCTGGATGGAAGTAGCGTACTGGTGTGAGCTTTTGTCGGTGAGGTTGTTCACGGGGTGGGGGGAATGAAATGGTGCTTGGAATGGAAGGGATGTTGGAGTGTACCTCTTCGTCGGTCCTGTCGTAGGGGTGGGCGTGGCGGTGGCGGCCTGAATGCGGGAGGTCGGCGTCGTGGAAGGGCATGTGGAAGCGCGGCGGCGAGTCCATGAAGGAGGTGGATATGTGCTCCCGCATGGTGACCCTGCGCGCCCGCTGCTCCGCGGTCCTCTGTTAACCGGAAATCGGAACTCGATTCAGAACGGGATGGAGATTCAGTTGGATTTCGGAAGAGGAGCAAAATTCGTTCGAAGTTTCAGCAAGGAGAGACGCAAGCTAGGCATCTCCACATCTGAAAATCATTTAGAAGCAAGGAGAAGGCAGTACAAACCTCCCGGTGTCGCCTCTCCCCGTCCCCGCGGCGGCCGGGAGCCGCCGTGTGGTGGTGGCGCGCGACGACGCAGTCGACCGAGGACGCCTCGGCGGCGAAGGGAATCCCCGGGGTGCAGGTGCACCACACGTCCCCAGCAGCCGCGACGCCGCCTCCTCCGCCGCCCGCGACCCTCGCGCCCCTCCTCTCCCTCCGCCTCCGCCGCCGCTGCTGCCGGCTCGCGCGCCACTCGTCGTCGTCCTCCTCCTCCCCTTCCCCCTCCTCTTCCGCGGCCGGGCGCACGGAGGCCGAGGCGGCGACGGGCGCGTGGGCCCGGGACGCGGCGGCGGACGCGCAGCCGAGGTCGCGCAGGCGCAGCGCGAGCCACTGCTGCTGCTTGCCCCGCGGCGCCTCCTCCTCGGGCCCCCGCGGCGGGGGAGAGGAGGACGAGGAGGCGCCCTCGCCCCGCGCGAGCAGCACCCGCAGCGCCACCCGGCGCCGCTCCGCCGACGCGCCGTCGCGGGCCATCGGAGCGGAGCAGGCTCCCTTTGGGCGCGGCGCTCGTGCGGCTCTGACTGACTGCTCGCGGTAGGGTAGGTGCGGCGGGCGGGGGCAGTTGGTTGGTTATTCACTTATTTGGGAGGGACGGGCAGAAGAGAGGAGAGCAGGCCGCCGATGGACTAGAAATAGGGAGGAGCGGTCGTCGGCCCGTCGGCGTTGTGCGGGGTGCCGTTGGATCCTGATCGGACGGGCGGGGACCGGGCCCTGGGGCGCTGGGCGGTCCACGGGGGGTCAGTGGGTCAAGGAAAGCAGCTGAGGCGGCGCTTGAACGGAAGAGTAGGCTCCCCCTGCGTTCTGCTTTGGTGGATAAGGATTAAGGAGGAAGATTCTTAATTAGGCTCGTGCGTGCGTCTGAGGCCAACTCCACAGCAGAACCCGATTTTGTCCGGTTTTGTCCGTATGGGGCAAAATCTGACCCAACGGACACACCCAAACGGACAAGCACGTCTGTTCGCGTCCGTTTTTGTCCGTCTCAATCCCAAACCTAGACCAAAATTGAGCCACGGACGCTCCCGAATGGACAGAAAACGAACGATCTTCTCGTCCGCTCCCGTCCGCCCCTGTCCGTCCTCTGGCCCACAATCAGTGAGACGAGAGCTACCGCGCGGCCTGCGGGACGGGATGGAGAGCAGCAAGGACGGGGCGGGGTGGCGCGGCCAGCCCGGCGCGGCGCCGCGCG